TTGTACACTCACCACGTCCAGAAAATTATATCCACATCATTTGACGGAGGATCCCAACATTCAAGAGCTCGTTGGCGAAGAAGTTCTCCTATCTCATGGCTTTTATCAAGAACTTGCCGTAGATTTTCTTGTAGATGAGGACGGTAGGCCTCTCGTGGACCTCCCGTTCGAGCTGGATCCTACCATCATCAGCGAGGAATTAATCTGGAGGGACGACAAGACTCCTGCGCATGTCTGTTTAGCGATGGCACTCGACAAATTCTTGTTCGAACATGCCCGGGTCAATGAAACCATGATCGGGAATCCATCCGCCCCGATGTCAATGAACACCTGGGACAGTAAAATCGACAAAGGGTCATCAGGATATTTGAGGCGAATCCCCAATCCGTTAAAGTCTATGTCCATGCACCATGTGGATACGTGACACTTTGTGACGATCATTTGGGGGCGTGTGTCTGCGAGTATGAAGGTTATGACACATATGAGGTCTACCGCTTTGTGGATCTGCCCTATGCACTGACTCGGGCATACACATACAAAGTAATGGTGGAGAAAAAATCAGAGTTTTGGCAGGTCTTGAGGTGGGTTGGTTCAAACCAGAAGCCTCGCCTGGTTGGTGAACACAGGAAGTCGAGCTAGTCGTGCCAGGGTTTCGTGCATCATGCGAGTTCAAAGTGTTGTGAGATTATACTGGTCATACCTGAATAATGTCTTCTACTATTGATAATGTATATAGTTTTCATATTTAATTGGGCCGTCCAACAAGGCAATACTGCCATTCTCAGTTTGCTCTACTCATTATATATTAACGTTCAGTACCTATCTCTTCACACTTAATACACTTTCAACTCCTAAGCAGGGTATTCAGTATAGTGCACCAACACTAGAGTGACACTCTTCGAAAGATATATCACGGAAAAGTAAAATGCCGGTTGTCCTGGAATCTCCAACTTTTGTAAATGCAACCCTCATTCAGTTCTGATACTCCTAAACCTTTTACTGGCCCCGGGGTGAGTCATTACTACCTTGCTGCAGAGCTGTACTGACACTATCCAATAGCCCTCTCGGCGGACCACCATCTACTCTTCACCTGATGTCTCCCCGGTTGCTCCTGCCCAGGAGCCAATAAGGGCTGATGTAAAAAAACCAACCATTCCTTTGACT